AACTCCTCCAATCTCACCTACAGCCTTACACACCCTGCGGCCATCCTGAGTAATCACCCCACACACACACCCGTCCCTCCCTCCCCTTGACGTTGCAGACAAGCTGTCCCCATCAGCCCCATTCTGGGTTCCGGGTGTATTCTCCCTCAGTTTCCCTGGCTCAATTCGGATCTGAGACTTCCAGATTTCGGCTCTCTGAGCACTGCACATCCCCCGCCAACACTCATTCGCTGATGAAGGCCAAAATGGCGATTTAGTCAGTTCCGAGTATTCGCAGACTGGGCTGTAACCTCTGGAACAGTCTCGGGCGCAGCTCCTCTCATCCCTGTGGGAAAAGCTCAATGCAGTCTTCTAACACAATCTCCTACTTGGGCGGGCGCGTCACGCTTTCCTCCTCTAGACTACATTTCCCAGAAGTTCCCGCGGCCCTATTCAACTTCCGGCGCGAATCTACTTTTTCCCATTTCGCGGGCAACATATGACTCCCTGGGATCGGTCGGGTCTATGGAGGAAGCTTGTCTTCAGGGTGTGGGATCCCCTCGTGTGGGAGCCTCACTCCGACTCCTGGTAGCGATTCGGAGAGGAGAGCAGGGCTGTCGGCTTGGCCCAGACTGCGCTCGCGGGAAATCCGAGAACCGGGCGCCATCTTGTCCAAACGGATCGACTCGGGACTATATTTCCCAGAGAACCCCGCGAGAACAGCCTCCCCCCACCCCCACCTCACCCCTCGCCGTTCGAGTTCTGGGCCTTCGGGGAAAGGGGAGAGTGCAAGGTGAGTGGTCTCAGTTTTGGGAGCTCGGACTAGTCTCCTCAGGTGCGTCTCTGAGGGTTTGAAGGGACAGTCCAGGCGGGTCCAGAGTTTCGGGCGTGGGGGAGGGGGGCAGGAAGTGTAGGATTCCATGCGTACGATTGTGACCTTATGTGACTGCGGCGCTGAGTGTGCGGGGTTGGTTGTATGTCCCCTGTGGTGGGTGTGTCATTGTGACTTACCATGCGCTCAACTCTGTGCTGATGTAACTGGATATCCTTGTTGTAGGTGTGTGGTTGTGACGATGTGCAGCGTTGTATGTGTCAGTGTGACCGAGTCCCCATGGTGGGACTGTGAATGTGTGTGTTTGTATAACTTTGTGTGACATGTGTGTGTGTGTGTGGGGGGGGGAGAATCTGTGATTATGTGGCCGTAACTGTTATCTGAGGGTTGCGTGTGTGTGATCGTGGTTGTGTGAATGTTAGCAGCACTAAGTGTACTTACTGGCTGGCTGTGACGGTGAGGATGTGTGAGCGTGATAATGTAACTTTTTGTGCCACTGTGTGTGCAGTTGGAGGGTGCCTGTAATTGTGGCCAGGGTGACAGTTCGTGTGTCCCAGTGGTTGATGGGTGAGGTCAGGACAAATTTTGGTCTTGGACAGCTGACTTTTCCCCTTTTGACACCAGGAATGCTCAAGACAGCCTAGACTGCCCTGACCTCTCTCCATTTCTCTTCTCCATGGATAGTGGGTGTGGATCCAGAGCTACCTCTAATCTGGTGAGTCTGGGCCACAAGAAAGACCTAGCGTCTCATGATTCCCTTCTCCTTCCTTAGCTTTGCTTCTCAGAGAGGTCCCCAGAAGAGGGAGGAATGGCTGCCAACCAAGCCAAATACAAGGTGTGCATGGATTTCCTTTGTGCTTTCTTTCTCTTAGATCAGGGGTCAGCAAACTTTTGAGACGGAAGAGCAACCAGGGGTCAGCAAACTGCGGCTCGCGAGCCTCTGAAGTAAAATTGAAAATGAAAATAAAACTATCATAGTTTCATTTATAAGATTTTTAAAGGATATTATTCACATAATGGTGATTATGTAAAAATATATTTATGGCTCTCGAATAATTTTTAAATTGTTGTGAGGGACAGGATTGACTCTTCCAGGGGTCAGCAAACTTTTGAGAGGGAACGTACCCAGAGAGCCACATGTGGCTCGCGAGCCACAGTTTGCTGACCCCTGTCCTAGATGGTCTTGTTTAACAGACTCATCAAGTAACCTAGTTGCTACATATTTACATTCAAGAAAATGATGGGAAGCCCTGGGGGTGGACAAACAGATCCCAGTATATGCTCTCATTTCCTTCTACATAATGTTCATATATTGATTTAGAAAATAGCTCAGTTTCTCCTGTGTAGTAAGTTTTTGCTTCTTGTTAAACATGTAGGTGTGCACACATACAAACACACAAAACATGATTATTTTAAAGAATTTGGAAAATAGGAAGTTACAAAGAGCATAACTAGTCAATATGTTGATCTATTCACTTCTAATAAGTTTCCTATGCACATATAACATATATTATTTCAAGATTGGAATCTTACAGCATTTACCATTTCATAGGTTATGTTTTCACTAAAAATTATTTGCAGCTATTCCATAGTTTCTTTTTTGTTCTTTTAAAAAAATTCCTGAATATTACATACATCCATTAAAGTGCTTAAAATATAAACATATAATTTAAGAAGTAACTATAGAGGAAAACTCTAACAAAAACTTGCAGAAACACTCCAGAAATCCTTTAGTCCTGCCCACAGGAAAAAACCTATTCACCACTTCAGGTAATGCTTATCCTGACTTTGGTGGTAATTATTTTTGTTTTAAAGAATAGTTACACATCCACTCCTCAAACGATATAGTTTAGTTTTGCCTTTTAACTTTATAGAAGTGAAATTGTGCTGTGTAATGTTTTGAGTCTTGCTCCTTTTATACAGTACTATTATTTCTAAGGATCACCCTTGTGGTGAGTTGTTACATGTAGCTGTAGTTTGGACATTGGTTATTTCCAGTTTTTGGCTCCTTTGAAAGAACAGCTCTGAATGTATTTTTATAAGTACCCTAGTGCACATATGGATGCTTTCCTAGGGTATAAACTTATGAATGGAATTGCTGGGCTGTAGAATATGTGTGTATCTTCAAATTTCCTAGATATTTCCAAACTGATTTTCAATATGGTAATACCGGTCAGTTCCTATCACAAGTTTATAAACATAGCCATCCTCTATTTTCTCTAATACTTGGTTACTTGGTATTTTAATTTTTGATGAATCTGCTGAATAAGCATATGAGTTATCAAAAAATATGGTGAATGTTTAAATTAAAAAAACTTATTACAGTAAAAGACACATTACCATGAATACCCCTCAGAATACTCCCCCTTGCTTCAAACACACTATCCCATCATTCTTGCCACTTTCTGAAGCAGACTTGGAAGTCCTCTTTCGTGTCGTTAGCTGTGCTAAAAGTATAACATACTCTCCCCAAAGTACAGAAATCAAAGTATATGTCTTGATGTATTTTATAAAATGGGCATATTCATTTAACCAGAGCTCACATCAGATCAGGAAGTAGAACATTACCAGCATTCCAGAAACCTGACTCTTGTCCCATCTACTCGCTGCTCAAAGATAACCATCCTATCTTTTATAGCCACAGATTAATTTTACCTGTTTTTGAATTTTATATAAATAGAATCACACAATATCTCCTCTTTTGTGCTTGACTTCTTTTGCTTAACATTAAATTGTACATGTAACAAATATACTATGTAATAATATTATGTAGTATAAATATGCAAGATTCATCCATGTTGCTTCATGTAGTTGTAGGTCATTTATTATTATTGCTTAAAATTTTATTATATGAGGGTGGTGACCAGTTAGCTCAGTTGGTTAGAGCGTGGTGCTGATAACACCAAGGTTGCTGGTTTGATCCCTGCATTGGCCACTGTGAGCTGTGCGCTCCCTAAAAGAGTCAACTCTGCCATGGTAGCATGAAAGCAATGTGTAACCAATGACCATGGCTGTTACCCAATATAAGAAAAAAAAAATTTTATTTTACGAACAAAGCATAATTTATCCATTCCCTTAATTGATTGGCATTTTGAGTTGTTTTCAAATTGGGGCTATTATGAACAAGGCTGCTTTGAACATACTTGTACGTGTCTTTTAGTGCACATATGAATGCATTTCTGTTGGCTGTATCCCTAGGAGTGAAATTTCTGTGTCATAGGTTATGCATATATTCAAATGTATACTGACAGTTTTCCTAAATGGTTATATCAATTTGCATTTCTGACTTCATTGTATGAGAGTAAACTTTATGAAAAGCTCTACTAGAGCAATAGTTCATAATAAAAAAGTTAGTGCAGCAACAAGATATTACAGTTCTAAATGGATATACCTTCAGAAAACGACTTCATATATATTTGACAGAACTAAAAGAAGTAGTAGACAAATTACAATCATAGTGGGGGGTTGTTAGCGCTTTTCTTAATAGCTGATAGAACAATCAATATAAACCCAGTAAGCTATATAATATTTGAACAGTGGGATTGACAAACGTGACTAATCGACATGTATAGAATGGTGTACCTTATACCTAAGTATATATTATTTTCAGATGCATATGTGTCACGTCCAGCGTGGCAAGGGCAAATAGGTTTCTCTTAAGGGGCGACGCAGATTGAATAAGAGCAAGAGACAAAAGTAAGATTAAGAGTGAGACCAAGGGACTCAGCCGGAGAAGACTGAGTGAGCCCCGAATCGGGTCAGCGCATGGCTTTTATTGAGTAGTTTGTAAAGAAGTGAAACTGCTGTCAATCAATTTGCAACCGTGTGACTTATGTGTGCCTTAAGACCTTTTCCATTAGCATTCCCTTTGTGTTCCAGCATATCCTGTGCCTTCACACTTCCACCACATAGCCCCAAGACACTTTGTTACTATGTCCTCCCAGGGGAGATAACTATTATCATTCCAATAGGCCCCAGTCACCTGAGACACTCCCCGAGAGAGCTTTACAGATATCATTCCATCCGGCCTCAGTTTTCCGAGACACTCTCTCGACTAATGGGTCAGAGGCTAATGCAGGGGGGTGGTAACGGAATCGGCTATAATGCAACACATATGAGACATTTATCCAAGTTGATCATATGCTGGACAATCAAGGGAATTTCATTATATTTCAAAGGATTGAAATAATACTGTACGGTTTCTGACCACAGTGAAATTCAGCTAGAAGTCAATAACAAAAACATAGTTAGAACTATTCCAATATTTGGGATTTAAGCAATGTATTTATAAACAACTGGTGAATCAAAGAAGAAATTGCAATGAAAATTGAAAATATTTTGAACTGAATAATAATGAAAATATAACATTATCAAAATGTGGAGTGTTGCTAAAGCTGAACCTGAAGCAAATATGTAGCCATAAATGCATATGCTAGTGAAGAAGAATGCTGAAAAATTAATGATCTATGTATTCATCTCAAGAAGTTAAGGAAAAGCATACCCAAACCCAAAGAAAGCAAAAAATATGAAATAATAAGAATAAGAGCTCAAATATAAATTTATGTATATTGGAACATAAAATGAATATACAATAGAGAAAATTAACAAAGCCAAAAGTTTATTTGGGGGATTAAGAAAATTAATAAGGGCTGGCCAAGTGGCGCGTTGGCTAAGAGCTGGCTTGGGATGCCAGCTCTGAGCAGCAGGGCCCCGGTTCGGATCCCACATGAGGGCCAGTGACACTGCCCTCTACAGCTAAGATGGTGAACAACAGCTCGACCTGAAGCTGGGCTACCATGAGTTGCCAGCGACGGCATAGGCTGTAGCCCCTGCTGCAGTGGGTTGCCATAAGCTACCGTGTGTGGCCAGCAGCCAGCATGAGCGGCCGACAGCCGGTGTGAGCTGCCAGGAGTCGCCGTGAGCGGCCATCCAGAGGCCAGCGACCGATCTGCCTCACCCGGGAAGAGCACAATGATAATACTAACATGGGCCAGTGAAGCAACGTCCTCCACAACTAGACTGAGTAACAAAAGGACAGCAACTTGTCTGTTCTCCTTCCCCGATTCCCCAACGCTGTTCCCCTCCCCCAATTCCACAATAAAATCTTTAAAAAGAAAAAAAAAAGAAAATTAATAAACTTCTAGCAAAACATAAAAAGGAAAAAAGGAGATGGGACTCAAATTACCAAATCAGGTTTGAGAAAAACAAAAATACAGACTAGTTTTAAGGCTGATTTCTCAATTAATTCTTGGTTGGTACCTGGGACTTGGCTGCACAGATTAAGATCCTTAGAACCTGAGCCAGTGATAGTTACGTTGTGTCGTCTTTATACATCATCAGACATGTAAATTTATTTTTTAATAAGATTTTTATTTTGTAACAGTTTCTTTATTGGACACTGTGTTTTAAGTTTTGCATAGCCTCCAATGTCATCACACATATTCATATGTGATTTTGGTAGCCCCCTATGGGGGAAAAATTAAGTACGATTTATAATTCATGTCTTACACTAAAATAAAATTATTGATAACCTTATACCATAATCTTTTACCAAATGATCTTATACCAAAATAAAATAATAATTGATGCAATATTT